ATAAAAAAAATCTGATATAAAAAGTAATAATGAAATAATAAACACAAATGAGCATCGTCATAATAATCATCCTCATGAAAATAAGTCTAAGTGATAATGAAAATATATAGGATCACAAATACATCCTATTTGGTGAATGAATAACCGCTTATGAAGCCAAGATCCTTGTTGATACCAGTTTTGTGTGTGTTAAGTTTCATAATCCACTGCAATTCAGAACAGCGTCTCTCAGTAAGAGACTTAAAACCTGAAGCAATTAATACAAATTTCATATCATTAACAGAGTGGTTAGGCAGATTAGCTGTCGTTTAGCTAAGATGGGGGGATTTTCGAAGGGTTTGTGGTCAGGTAAGTGGGTTTTCAGAACCTGGAAATCCGCTTTAATGGATTCTGACAGCTTAAAAATACGGGGGTTATAGTCTAGTATAAGGGGGATGCGTGTAGTATTGGCTTTAGGTCTGTATTGGAGAAGATCATGTCGGGATTTAGATGATGCTTTCTCAATGTTATGTTTGATGAAAGGTATCGGATAGTTGCTTTTTCTTAGTTTCGAAAATCCCCCCATCTTAGCTAAACGACAGCCCCCCAACATTAAAAATATCCTGACTTCCTCCCATCTCCCTAGAATTCCCCCCTTAACTGGTAACCGTCCCTGCAACAACTCACGCTGCAAAGTCTGTGATATTCTCATCACTAGCAAATCTATCAAGCTCCCCCACACTAACTTAACCATCAACCCACCCCCTTTCACATGCAACTCTACCAATGTTATATATATGATCATATGTTCTAAGTGTGATCGAGGTTGTTATGTCGGGGAGACAGGGAGCAAATTTAGACTTAGGTGTAACAATCACAAGAAATCGATTCGGGACAAACCTCTGGGATTCCCTGTAGCACAACATTTTAATCTGCCTAACCACTCTGTTAATGATATGAAATTTGTATTAATTGCTTCAGGTTTTAAGTCTCTTACTGAGAGGCGCTGTTCTGAATTGCAGTGGATTATGAAACTTAACACACACAAAACTGGTATCAACAAGGATCTTGGCTTCATAAGCGGTTATTCATTCACCAAATAGGATATATTTGTGATCCTATATATTTTCATTATCACTTAGACTTATTTTCATGAGGATGATTATTATGACGATGCTCATTTGTGTTTATTATTTCATTATTACTTTTTATATCAGATTTTTTTTATATCAGATTTATATCTATTTTTATTATTTCCATTATACACCAATTTTATATAGACCCTTTGTCTCATTTTAATTACTGTTCTCCAGATTCTCAGTATTATAGTTGACTTCCTTTTTATTGTTTATTTTGCATTGTTGTTTGTCACAAGCAATTTTACCGCCAGTCCTTTTTATGCTTCCGACTGTTTATTAGTTTATCACTTCTCATTTACTAATTGCTGGCCTTTTATCTTATGACTTATCTTGGTTATTCACTTGATACTTTTAGTTTGATTTGTTCTGTAATTCTCATTCATACGTGTTAACGCTGAAGAAGGACACCACAGGCGTGTCCGAAATATTCGTTTGCAATAAATTTTATGTCTCTATTATGTCAACGTATGCTATCGCTTCATTTTCGTATTTACTTTTATTTATATATTCGTATGAGACATACGTGGAACCTACTACATCGGATACAACTATATATGTATGTATATATATATATATACATATATATATGCATATATATATACAGTATATATATATAATTTCAATTCGAAAATAAAAGCACAATAGTACAAATAAACTTGGTCGATTAAAATATCGAGATATGAAATTCATAATCAATACATAATACATTTAAATAATCAAGACACACACACACACACACATATATATATATACAGTATATATATATATATATATATACACATACATAGGTATATAAATTATTTAATGAAAGAATGTATAAATAAATTGGTCCTAAGTGCAATGTCCTGGATGTAATAATGACCGTGATTGACGATTGATTGATTGATTAAGTGATTGAGTGGTTGTTTAGGTACGTGGGTAGGTGAGTGACTGATTGATTGCTTGATTAATTGATTGATTGGTTTAATAATAATAATAATAATAGTAATATAATAATAATAATAATTTGATTTAATTTGAGTTTATTCAGAAAATCATTGCACAATTACATCAAAACATTGGTATAAAGAAAACCTTATAGGCCTAATAAAAAATTAATATCAAACAGAAAGAACAAACAATGATAATGATAATAATAATCTTAATAATAATAATAATTATGATGATGATGATGTTCTTATACTTATATACCGCAAAATTCAGGAGCTTTGATGTGCTTGGAATCTGTCTCTTATACACATCTGCATGCATCCTTGTTTAACGCCTTTATGAATTGGAAATTCCTTAGTCATATTTTCCCCAATTTTTACTTTAGATTTAACGTTGTCATATAGTGAACTAATGATTCTCCAAATTTTGTCCTCTTATGCCTGCATCCCACACACTGTAGTAGGCAATTTTATCTGAAGAGTGTCACATGTGTTGTTCCGTCCTAGTTGTTGCTATAGATCTGAGATAAGAGGTTCACGTTCAGCCAAAGTTCGTTACCAAGTATGTTCATTGTTCTAAAGTGAAGGCGTATTGTAAACCCTATCTCAGATCCATGGCAACGACTAGGACGCTCTCCCAAAAAGTGCACAACCCCAAAAATAGTGGAAAACGATATCTTATTAGTATAAGATCTTTGATTTGGAGCAGTTAAGTTGTGAGGGTTATCAAAGATCTTATAAATACAAGATTGCGTTCTCCGCTAATTCTGTAATAACGTATGAACCTTCTTGCTAAGTTTAAAACTTTTGAACCGTGATCGCTCTGACCATGGCGTACGCCGCACGACTTTACGTTTACGCTTAAGAATTAGAAGCTTCTGATTTACAATGCGCCCTCTCTTTAGAACATAATGAACAAGTTAACGTACTTGGTAACGAAACACCCTACCTCAGATCCATGGCAACGACTAGGACACACTCTCCCAAAACTAATTATTTTCTGTGCCAAATCAAGGCAATAGACCTTTCCGGCGTGTCAATCAATCTTAACAACTGACCAATCAGAACAGCGCTAGGAATGC